ACTCCACAACTTACTGAGATACTGCTACCATACCAGGCTGCTTCTACAGGGAGAACCTTAAAACACCGCGAGACACATGGAACTGAAACTGAGGGATATTAAAGAACTTGTCCAATACCACAGGGTTAATAAGTTTCATAAGCCCATTACACAATGAGTATCAGAACTAAGATTTAAATGTTAAGTCTTATGATGCAGTTTCCCCTCTCTACTCTCTCACTGTTGTTTTAAGAAGAAATAAACCATCTCCACAATGATTTATATACACTTGTGTATATGCCTTTCTATATTGTGTGCTCTTGTTCATTTATTTGTATGTTCCTATATCCAGTACCTGGTAGATAATCCTTATTCAGCAAATATTTGTTGAGTACTGAATCTGCTGACCTGTAGCTATGAAGAGATGGCAAACATTAAAAATACCTAAAGTATTTTAACTAAAAAAAATCAGACAGACTAGGCAGATTTATGGGCCATGACAAAGTTAAAATGGTGAAGAATTTGAGATCTGAAGTGGCACTAAATTGAAGCTTGAGAGGTTACAGTGTAGTGGTTGAAGCTTGAGAGGTTACAGTGTAGTGGTTAAGAACATGACTCTTGAGCCAGACTGGACTGAATTTACACTCCAATTTACTAGCTATTTGGCTTGGGTTACTGGCTTCATTTTCTGCTCTTGTTTCTTCATCTGTAAAGTAAATTTACACCATTTACTAGCTATTTGGCTTGGGTTACTGGCTTCATTGTCTGCTCTTGTTTCTTCATCTGTAAAGTGTGTGTTATAATGCACCTAGCTCATAGGGTTATCATAAGGATGAAATGATTTAATAAGTATAAAGCAATTAGCCCAGGGTCTAGTACATGGAAAGCATTCCATAAATGTTTTCTTTTACCATTGCCCAAATAGGAACTATACTTTTATCCACCAGTTTAGCTCCCTCCAAATTCCTTGCTTGAGGGTTGCCTAATGAAGTGATAAAAGCAGCCAAGGGCCCTGCTCTTTGCCTACAGACCAATAAAATTTAACAACTGGAAAACAAGTAGCGCACTGGGATTTCATGGGTTAATGCTGATACTAATGTTAGAAGGGCTTGGATCTACCATAATCAAACCATCACCACCACCACCACCACCACCACCCAAAAAAGAAAACAAGTTGTATTTTACTCTTCTTATCTTATGGCAGTTATCACCTGGGTATGCCCCTCAAATGCACACACAAAATGAATGATTAAAGTATATGATGAAGTGAACCCTGAAATGAATTTTAAGTGTATGGGTGCTATTCTTGGCATCTTCTTAAGAAATGTTTGTTTTCTTCCCTTCTTTACATTGTTCTGCTTGTGGGTCTGCTCTGTATGAACAGAGTTCTCTGCACATTCCTCTGCTAGCTTACTGTACTCAAACACATGTCCATCATGTCAGTGGTGCCATCCAACCATCTCATCCTCTGTCGTCCCTTTCACCTCCCACCTTCAATCTTTCCCAGCATCAGGGTCTTTTCCAATGAGTTGGTTCTTCACATCAGGTGGCCAAAGTACTGGAGTTTCAGCTTCAGCATCAGTCCTTCCAATGAGCACCCAGGACTGATCTCCTTTAGGATGGACTGGTTGGATCTCCTTGCAGTCCAAGAGACTCTCAAGAGTCTTATGGTAGGCACATCTAAAAAAGCCTTCACAGTGATACTCAATCAGGGTTTTATTAAATAATCAGGTACTTTTGCCAAGCCAAGTTGACATATAAATGAGCATCAATATGATCATTCTCTCCCAAAACACACAGGACCTCAAAAAAATTTTTTTGAGGTCCTGTTGGAACAGAGAGTCTTCTCTAGCAGCTCAGATGGTAAAGCATCCCATCTGCCTGCAATGCAGGAGACCCAAGTTCAATCCCTGGGTTGGGAAGATTCCTTAAAGAAGAGAATAGCAAACCAGTCCAGGATTCTTGCCTGGAGAATTCCGTGGACAGAAGAGTCTTGAGGGCTACAATCCATGGGGTCTCAAAGAGTCGAACATGACTGAAAGACTCACACTGTCACTTTCTGCAACAGAGAGACTGGCAACTAAGAGGTAGCCAACAAATATCACTTACAATAGCTAGCAATAGATGTGTAAGAGGCTGCCATGGTTTTTAATTGTTTTCCATGGGCTGATACCTGGGACAAAGTTACAGAAATAGTGAGGCAGCAGCCATCAACTTAACTAAAAAACAACTGACCAAAACAAAACAGAAAACAGTAGTGAGTTTTTATTACTGGGAATGTTCAAACACAGGCTAAGTGACCATGATGTAAGCCATAAAGTTTAAGCCAAGAATACACCCAGATGTATTCTTGACATCTGGGGCAAACTGGAAGAACTCTGAATAGCCTAACCGCAAGTTCTCTACCCCACTGTGCTTCCACTGAGAAGGCTTCTAACCAAACAACACTCCTTATCAAGGGGATCAGGCATAATACCTGCTTATCCCTGATTAGCAGGTTTCGGTTCCCTTCCAGCCCATAGGATTATTCACACAAGCAAAGGCATTCATTTGTGGGCATGTGGCACTCTCTTGATACTATAAAATCTGCTTCCCAAAGCCTCTGTCAGTCCACTCTGTTCCAGAATACAGCACCTATGTAGCCATGGATGGCATTTGGTGTCCTCCTCCCCTGAGCTGTGAATGGATGTGATTAATAAACTATCAATCTCATCTGTCCACTGTTGAGTGCCAAGTGTTCACCATTTTCATAATCTTAGAGTGGAAATCCCTTCCTCACCAATGGGATGAATGAAAAATGATTAAAAGAGTCTCCTGCCTACTCTGCCCCACAGCAGTGATGGTGGAAAGGGAAAAGATTGCAACATCAGTTAAATAATTGGAATAAGTGATTTGTGAGTTTCCAGCCAATCCCAAGATTCTACTATTTCTGTTTTCAATGCTAGTATTAGCATTAATTTTATACTTTCCAAATACAGACCTAGAAGTTTCTTTGTGTCTCTTCTCATAGCACCCATTGGGTTGTTTTGCAAATTATTTATACATCTCTTCTTGTCAACTCAAATCTCAGAAAGCCATGCTTTATTTATTAATCTTTGTATACCTCAGAATAGCATAATGCCTGACACATAGCAGATATTCAATGAATATTTGGTGAGTGAATCTGAAAATCATTTTCTCCATTGGAATTTGAGAAAAAAATTGCCAATGAGCTGTGAAATTCTCCTTAAACAACATCACATATAAGTAAATCTAATAAATATGAATTCTCAACACTGTTGAAATCCACACTTACTCCACACACCTGTAGATGGAAGAATGAGGTCTTGGGAGTGTTGACCATTTTTTTCCCTTCTCTTTCCTCTTCCAAAATGTGTGCCAGTTGCCCTTGGGCTTCTGAAGAACCCTGAAGGCAGCATCTCACTTGGTGTAGGAAGGAGAATTAATATAGTAGTAAGGTGATCCCAACTCCTTGCCTGTCTGTTCATTCTGAGTGTTCCATTCACTTCAAAATCCCTGCTGAGAGCTAAAACATTATTTCTACAAGAAGGCATTTATTTTAGCCATAGTTTCATTCTTCAAGTGTGCAGCTGCATAGCTGCTGTATCCTGAATTATATGAAGAATATGGAGAAAGTTAAAATGGTTGGCTTGAAGATATTTGACCTGTCTTTTTTCTGTTTTATTATATACTATATTTAAAATTTTATTTTTTCCAGTTTTATTGAGATAGTAATTATACAATTATACATAACACAGTATATAGTGACATTTAACACTTTACAAGTTTAGAGTGTCCAGCACAATGATTTGACTTAACATATATTATGAAATGATTTCCACATTGTTTAGTTAACACCCATCATCTCATATAAATACAAGAGAAAAAGAGATTTTTTTTTTACTTGTGATGAGAATTCTTAGGATTTATTCTACTAACAACTTTCATAAATACTACACATAAATACAACTTTTATAAATACTACACACACATAGTATTTCATAAATACTACACAAAAATATTAACTATCATCATAATGTTGTCCATTACATCCCTAGTACTTATTTATCCATAAGTTTGTACCTTTTGACAACCTTCATTCAGTTCCCGTTTCCTCACTCGCCACCTGTGGAAACCACAAGTCTGCTCTCCTTGTTTTTTCGAGCATAGTTGCCCTTCGCCCTCCCTCCCTCCCTCTCCCCCTCTCTCTCTCTCTGTCTCTCAAGATTTCACATATAAATGAGATCATACAGTGTTTGTCTTTCTCTGACTTTGCATAACGCTGTGAACCATCATGTTGTCACAAATGGCAAGATTTTCTTCTTTTTTATGGCTGAATAATAATATATGTATACATATATATATGTAGATATATAAATACATATATATGCATCTTAAGTTCTCTATCCATTCTCCCTTTGATGGACACTTAGGTTGTTTTAATGTCTTGACTATTGTAAATAATACTGTGATGAATATGAGGGTGTTGATATCAGTTCAACATAGTGTTTTTATTTCTTTTGGATATATTCCTAGAAATGGAATTGCTAGATAATATGGTAGCTCTATTTTTAATCTTTCAAGGAACCTCCGTACTGTTTTCTATAGTCCCTGTACCAGTTTTCACTCCCACAAACATTGCACAAGGGTTTATTCCTTTGATGGAATGGCATATGTTTCCTAACCCATAGATTTAAGAACTTTTTTTTTTTAGAAAAAAATAAAAAGACTGGTCTGACAAGGGAATTTTTCTAATTCATGAACTTATATACCTTCACACAGGTGTAAATAAATTGTGTTCATTAGCAGGAATAAAATTATGTTAACCCACCTCTGATGTTTCAGAGATACAGTTTCCTTATCCAGATGTCTTTATATAGTGCAAAGTATGTGACTGGCATTTAGTAAATATATATTGGTTTAATAAGCTGATAGTAGAATGTTCACCCTTTCATTGATCCTGGGCCTTAAAGACTTTAATATAACAGAAGTGTTTTTTCCACCTCCGGTCTTACTCCCAGTAAACAGATCCGAGCCGTCCTAGGCCAGTTCGGCCAGGCAGAGGCCTTACTGATGAAAGCTGGAGTGCAACCAGGGACTTTGGATGGAGTTCTTCTGGATCTTGGGTGTTCCTCCATGCAACTTGATACCCCTGAAAGAGGTTTTTCCCTTCGGAAGGACGGCCCCTTGGACATGAGAATGGATGGTGACAGGTGAGTATTGATAAAGCATTTTTCTCCTCACAGCAAAAAAATCAATTTCTCAAAAAACATTCTGAATTTGATTTCCTTTTAAGACTGTAGAATTCCCATAACACGCCCACACCTAACACCATCCATACATAATAAATCAGTTTTGTTTGCTACTCATTATAGACTTTAGTCTTTCACTAGATTTGGGATTCTAAAAGAAAAATCATTGCTGTCTTTATACAAAATAGTGCAGAGGATAACTTTTGCATTGATTTTCCTTTTTACAGATACAATATGGTCTTTTAGGCTTCTAATATTGATAAATCTGATGCAGAAACAATGGTTGCATTTTGGTGCAGACCCAACTATGCCTTTTGTGAAAAGTAAAAGGGACTATACTTAATCCATATTCTTATGACTACTGCATAAAAGGCAAGATTCCAGAGGTCAGGGATTGTGTGTTCTGTGCTGTTTCTTATATTGTCACAAAGATTCAACCTTCTCCAGAGAATCTAAAATTTATTGTACTGAATCAGACATAGTGCTATCTGTAAGACAGCTTTCCATTTCTTCTTCATTCTTCACCACCTTGGAATTACATTTGTCTTCCGTCATTTAAATAGGTAATATATACTAAATAACCTCTAGGAAAGTATAGGATAACTTCTTTTAAATCTAAATAATTTTAAAAGCTTAGATTAGCACTTGTCTCTGTGCCCAACTCTGGCCCAGGAACTGAATAGCCTGTATCTACACAACAAGGCTTAACATTTTTTTTTCTCATTTTATGCAACCCCTCCACCAAATTATGTATCATGGTCCATATATTTGGGAAGCTTACTTTCTAAAAAGAACATTGGACTTTCTCATATCTAAATTTGTAAACTATTCAGTTACTAATCTTCAGTCCTAGACCTGCACAAATATTTGTACTGACACAAATAGATTTTTCAACATTTCTTCCAGTCTGTCAGAAGGACCTATATATGAGAAGTTTAATGTCCAATTTAAGTCAACAATGTAATATTGGGTTGACTTTGACTTTTCCCTCCACAGATTTCTTCATCTCCTGGAAATTATTCACACATAGACTACATAGACTGTTGCCCATGTTTTGCTATGACCTGCTAACTTAGAGTGTGACCCATACTTGTTGGAACCTTTTTGTTCTGCACCTTATACCTTCTTTTACACAAATTGGCATTCATGGAATGAAGAATGTGATCATAAAAGAAAATAATAAAAAATCCTTTAAAGACCAGTGACTAATAGTAAAGGTCAAATATCTTCTCATGTTTGGAGATTGAGGTTGTTGGGCAGAGGTAATAAAATGTCAAGCAAATTTCTGCTGTTCTGTGTCTTGCTAAGAACAATAAATAAATAAATAAATAAATACAATGAACAAAGCTTTGAGTTAGTAGTAGTAAATCTCCATATTGTTAATGTAAAATCATCATCCAGCTGTAGTCTGTGAATTGAGAGTTTCTGAAGCTCTCCCCTAAGAACATGAAAATAAGCCCTTGAGAATTAAACTCTTAAGTCAGTATGTAATAGATGAGAATGGTAAGTCACTTCAGTCGTGTCCGACTGTGTGCGACCCCATAGGCAGCAGCCCAGCAGGCTACCCCATCCCTGGGATTCTCCAGGCAAGAACACTGGAGTGAGTTGCCATTTCCTTCTCCAATGAATGAAAATGAAAAGTAAAAGTGGAGTCATTCAGTTGTGTCCAACTCTTAGTAACCCCATGAACTGCAGCCTACCAGGCTCCTCCATCCATGGGATTTTCCAGGCAAGAGTACTGGAGTGGGGTGCCATTGCCTTCTCCAATAGATGAGAATAGTATTAAGCAAATATATCTGAAAAGCAGGATGGCTTCCAGGTAGATAGCATAGGCTAATCAGATATGTTAACAGATCTGAAGGAATTACATGGCATTCATATGACTTGATAGAAAAAGGAAAGTTAGAGATGAAAATATGTTTAATGCTAATCTAAGTGGTATTATGGGAAGAGGGAGTCCAAGTAATAAATCTGGCCAGTCAAATCCTGAAAGCAAAGCTGGTATTTCCCTGTGCTGAAGATGGATACAAGAGGCTTTCCCAACCTGTTGCTGTTTAACAGTAGAATGTTATAGCACAGTTTATTCTGTACTCCCCCGAGTGCAGCAGTAGCGTTCAGATTATAAAGGTTCTTACGTGGGAGAAAGACGTTCCCAGCTACGAGGGCTTGTGTAGGTCTAGCTCTGCTCTCTGTCGCACTCTTCACTAGAAGGTAATGAATAGATTGCTGCTTACACTCTCCTAAGTGTGGTAGTTTGTAAGCGGGTGATCTCTGGAGGAATGACACGATCTCATAACTTTGAATTTGGAAGGAAAGATTTTGTATCTTAGCTTCTCTACTACTTGAATGCCCATTCTCAGCAGTGAAGGATCCACCTGCAATGCAGAAGATGAGGTTTTGAGAGGCTGCAGGCAGGATGGCTGGGGTCCCCAAGTGGAGGGAACAGACTGCAAGTGTCGTAGACTGCACGTTTTCTCTCTCTCTCTCTTAAGCAGCAGGAGGAGACAAACTGCAAGTGTCAGGCATTCCCCCCCTTCTCTATACAGAATTAAAAGGTTTCTTTTAAAATTCTTGTTGCCACTACCTGGTTCCACCTGAACTTAGCTTTTCTCAAACCTTGAGGTAACTAATGTATTTTTCTTATGGAAATATTTTTCTTAAGCTATGTTAACGAACTGTGTATTTGCTTAGAAATCTGCCTTTCTTCAAGATTCATGTCAGTTGTTTCATGGCCCAGGATGACTCACCTGGTGCCAGGGCTATCTCAGAATGCATGTTGTGGGTGAGGGGTCTGGTGCCACTCTCAGTTTTGAGGCATTTCCTTTCTCTCATTTGCAGCTTACTAATAGGTATATCACTTCTTGCTATAAACTAGGAAGGGGGCACTCTTTCTACCCCCTTGTGATATGTATGTCAGAAGATTTCTCTGTGTCTTTTATACTTAAGTAGAACTTGATTACACAAAAGCTCTGAGCAATCAAGCCTCTTCATTGGCCCCTGATCGAATTCTTCTCCTCCAGAGGCCAAGAATCCTGGCATTGCTCATGACTCATAGCAACAATCAGTTTGATCCTTGAGTTGGCAAGATCCCCTGGGAGAAATGGCAGCCCACTCCACTATTCTTGCTAGGAAATTACATGGACAAAGGAGCCTGGCGGGCTACAGCCCTTGGGGTTGCAAAACAGTTGGACACAGAGACTACACAACACAACAACAACATCTGAAACCTCCTAGCAGCCTGTCGGTTTTCCGGAATATTGTCCCTTTTGCCCCATTTGCTCTATGGAAACTTCTACACCTCTATTCAGTGTTAACATGAGAGTAAAATAAAATCATACCTATTATCCACTGAACTATATTTGAGCAAAATGCTCTTTTAATTTTCTTTCAACAGTAGAAGGTTAAAAAAAAAAAAAAAGAACTGCTAGGTGCATCCATACTAATCGTAGGATTCTCCTGGTAGAACTGGACATATATTCTATGGTAGAACTGGAAATACCCTATAAGTCTAAATTTACCATCACTAAGAAGGTTCATTCTGACACTTGGTGTTTTGGGCAGTTGAATTAACAGCTAGGTAAAAATCTAACAGGAATTTTTTGGTTGGGCCAAGAATGACGTTTGGAAAATCTAGGAATACAAAATCTCTAAAGGACAGTGACATTCATTGAATTTCTCTGTGCCAGGCACCATGCTGTCTATTTTGTAAGTGCATGAACCCTTAGTTCTCTCAACAATTCTGTGGGATAAGCATTGTTACTTTCATTTTACAGGTTGGAATTGAGGCTCCAGTAGGTTCAAATACACAATATGAGTAGCACAGTTGTGATTCTAATCAAGGTTGATCTGAGTCTACAGACTAAATCTTTATCCTTAAAGCCATTATTGAAGGAGCAAAGCATGTTGGATGGAAATAGGCCACCTTATAGGATGTTCATTGATCTGGGGGTACCATGGCAGTCAGAAAAAAAGAATAATAGGATCTGGAAAATAAGGTTGCGCACATGCACGCAGAGAGAAGGAGAGAGAGATATGGCGGTCATGGCAATATAGGGAAAAGCCAAAGACAACAATAAAATGTTTTTCCTAGAGGCACTAGACGTGTTAGCAAGGCTCAGTGTTGTTTTGGTGTTTTTGTTTGTTTTTTGCAGTGTCATATTTATGGATTCAGATGTTTGTTGACAACCCCACTCTGATTGACAGTCAGGTCTTAAAGCTACCATATCTTCATTACTTAAAGTCATTACAATATGGTTCCAACAATCAGTCCAACACAATAACTACAGGAGCAAGAACTGTACTATTAGCAAAGCTATCTTTCTAATAATTAAGATCTCAGCTCACACTTATCATTCCTTGACCCACTTCCCTAAAGTAAAGTAAATTGGAATGACTTGACAAAGTGAATGTTTTTTCCTGTTACTATAATTTATTCTTATTTGACCAGAGGTCAAATTGTTTCATCTCCTCCACCTGAAATTACCATCTAGGCCTGTTTAGTGTTGTTTAACTATCAGGTTTTACCCCATGGTGACTTTTGTCATGAGTGTGTACGCCAGTATTGTTACCAGTTTGAAGTAATATATGTTATTACTGTTAAGGTTGTTCTAGTTTTTGTGAGGGAAACTGACCAGCAGATCTTCTTATTTAGACTTTCTGAATTTAATTTGTACCCTCTTGTAAGTAGTAGGTTACTTTACATCCTTAGATTTAATTAAGTTCCAGAGATACAGACTCATTTAAATATCAGTCAATAAGCCTTGTATCTTCTATACTTAAAAAAATAAATTCAAACAGTAATTTAAATTTGAACAAACTAAATCTGAAATATTTTCCATTATTTTAGTTTAGGAGAAATCTTCATAAGCAATAATAACTTCTTTTTGAACCAAAGGCTAATAAACTATTTTAACTTTCTGCTGCCCTGGACCTTATTGAATGTCACACACAGTCCTACTTCCATAATCATGGGTATTTGAAATGAAAAATCTGTTTTGTGTAAGATTTCAGTCTGTGACTTTAAACGCTTCAGAAGCCCTCTTAGACTATGTGTGTATGCTTGACTTGATCTCAGTTCTATGAAGTTTTATCTCTTATCAATGAGAACTGACGTCAGTGAACTAATTGACCCTTCTTGTGCATAGGTACCCTGATATGCCCACCGCAGCTGATGTTGTGAACGCGTTAGATCAACAGGCACTTGCATCCATCCTGAGAACATACGGAGAGGAGAAGCACGCCAAGAAAATCGCTTCAGCAATTGTTCAGGCACGCAGCCTCTACCCCATCACCAGAACCCAGCAGCTTGCCAGCATTGTTGCAGGTACCCTCATTAATTCTAAACAGTGTCTGAGAGAAGAAAAAATATATATACATATATGTGTGTATGTGTGTGTATGTATAAATCCCCTGAAGTCCCAGAGGGATTTATTTGTACTTGAAATCATGCAGGGTGGAATCTTGCCTATCTTCTTTTATGCCAGCTTTCTTTGGTTTTGCAAGCCTCCCCCCTCCAACACCTCTCTCCCACAAACAATTTTTTAAAATATTCTGTAGTTTGCTGATTAGTTTAATAATAGAATTTTTTGGTTTTTGCATGAGGTGGTTTATCATTTGTGCCTACCACAGTGAAATGTGGAATGACAGGAGCAGAAGAATTTCTCGATCCATCACAGTGGTTGATAGGCATCCTGTATAAGATCTGACATTACCTCTCTTAGTTTTACATTTCTGCATTTTAATATTTTGGGCAAAAGGAGAATTGCATTGCCCAACTGCTAAAATAAAATCCAGTGACTCATACATCTATTCTAAACAACCAGCTAACAAAGAGTATGTGATGTATAGGTTATTCCACTTTGTGAATGCTAACTAAATCAGCCTGAGGGGCTTACTGAAACATTTCATCTTTTCTGCTCTTTGCCACTATAAACCTCTTGAACTTAAGTCTAGCTAGGAGGCGCTTTATTACAGCCTTTCTGTTTGAAGCCAAAGTTGTTTCACAGCTGTGTTCCATGATGAAAGTTTTCCAAGGCAAAAATACAACTCCTGCAGTTATTTAACAGAATCCCAGTGGTAATTTCTTCATCTTGTTGGACCATCTGAAATCCTACATCATTTTTATTTACCAAAGGTAATAAGATTTTTTTCAAAAGTTCTGAGTAAGTTACTTTAAGTAGCTAAAGGAGGAGAAAAAAGGAATACTTGGGTAGCTTGTAAAAAGAACCTAGTTTTGTTGCCTCTATCTTAATATTATCCATAGTTTAAGGAATAAAACAATATAAATTCACTAAGATCAAGATTTAGAGATCCTATAGCCATTGCTCTGTAACATAAGTTAATAAGACTGACTATGTTCTACTTAGCTACTAATCATAAATACAAAGAGTGGACCAACTCTTTAATTTTTTGCTATATACCTCAAGGCCCTTCCTGCTTAACCACTGAAATTCCTGCAGCAAGTAAGAGCAAAATCTTGTGGGTTATGTGGACATAAAATATTCCATGATTTTCTCCCCCAAAGCATTTTTACCAGCAGATTGACATCACATTCACCCTGTCTTCTGTCCCTTCCCTTCTTCCTACTCCATACGCACTAACACATCTATCTCCACCTTATCCTTTCTGTCATTAACTAGCTGTGTTCTCTGTCTTCCATTTTGGAAAGGAGAGCAGTGAGAAGTCACATTATCTTTTATTAATAAGAAAATCCAGAACTATTGGTGCTGAAAAATGAGGACTCAGGGTTAGAGGGCATCCTAGAGATCATCCAGTCAAAGAACCTCATCTGATAATTGAAGAAACCAAGTCAAGGGATGGTGAGCAGTATCCTCAATGGTACAACTTAATCAGTGACAACATCAGATCTAGAATTTGAAAGGTCATGAATTTGAGGCATCATTGAGAATCTGCCTTTAAGAAATTAAGCGAGCTTTTCTGTCTCAGAACTCTAATCTATGAACTTGGGGAAATAACAGTATGGTATTCTTTAGAAATTATATGAAGTTGTAGAATAGGAACAATTTAAGTGTTTTCAGAAAAATCATGTTGTGAAAAGCATGTTTTGGCTATGACAAATGATATAAACATGAGAATTTTCATGTATGTGTAGGTAAATCCCCATTTTAGTAAATGCCATTGAAAACTTGAGTTCTTTATAATCCATTTTTTATGGCTCATATCAGCCCATATAATACAACTTTATTGATGATGATATAATTCTTTGGAGAAGGGAAAAGCAGAAAAAATTGGTTTCCATTTTGTGCTTATTTAGTGAAAAAATATTTTGGGAGAGGCTGTTGTATTCCAGGCATTTTCCTAAATACTAAAGGTAGAATGAGAAGCAAATCAGATAGCCTCTATGTTCATGAAACTTACAGCCTAATAATTGATAGAATAAAAACATGGTATTAGAAATTGGTACTGATAGTTGTAACACTCTTATTTATTGTAGTCTGAAGTTATGATTGTGTGGCTCATAGAAAAAGTTGATTCAAGTGGAGAATTATAGAATATATATATATGTTACATAACCACACCTGTGCATATATTCTGTATTCTTACATAAACCACACCTGTGGCATATATTCTATAAGCTCTAATTTTGCTTTTGTTAAAATGAAATAAGAATTTAAAGATACTGCCAAAGCAATCTGAATGAGCATATTTTCTTGATTTTCATTATTTTTGTCTTAAAAATTACCTCACCACATCTAATTTGTTTGCATTTGTATGTGAACTTACCTTTATAAGAGAAAGTTTTCCAAAGTCTCTAACTTAGTATTCATGGAAACAGCAGCTGTATTGCCTTTTGCATTCATATTTCACCCATTCATGTAATATTTCATTAAATTATGTATTAACAATAGTAAGTGCCCTGGGCTGTAAACAAACAGTTATGCGGTTCTTTTAGTGGGAGCAGGACTGTATGGAACACTGGAGAGTAGAATGCAATTTGTTTAGTAGAGAAAGGGATTAATCTGTCAAGTCCTTTAAACAGAAGTCTCTTAAGAGAGCTGCTTCATAAAGGAGATAGGGGAAGCAATGGAGAGCCCGGGAAGTTCCCGGTATCAGTTTCATAGTGCTGCTGTAACAAAGCACCACACACTGCATCGCCTAAAACTACAGAAAGTTATGCTTTTACAGTTCTGGAAGGCAGACGTCCAGAACCAAAGTAGCAGCAGGGCTCTGGGGAAGAATGTTTCCTTGACTATTCCTAGTTTCTGGGAGTTGCCAACAGTCCTTGGTGATCCCTGGCTTGTAGATCCATCACTAAGTCTATAGGCCACACCATCATCACACGGTGTTCTTGCGCATCTGTCTTTGGGTCCAGATTTCCTTTATTATAAGGACATGAGTCATGTTTGATACAGGGCCTACCCTAACCCAGTACACACTCATCTTAACTTGATTGTCTCTGCAAAGTTCTTATTTCCAAATAAAGTCACATTCACAGGGTTCTGGTGGACATGAACTCTGGGGGACACTGTTCAACCTAGTATAGTTCCTAAGCAATATCTTTATTTAACAAACCTGTATTTTATCAGGCTGTAATATGCAGGATTATATTTGAATGTCTTTTCTGGTTCTTCATAAATTCATGCTGAATATGTTCAATATTATCAAGCACTTTGGGAAATATGCCAGTGTTCCTGACACATAGTAAAACCCATATATGGACGAAAATTTAAATTGCTTCCTTTGCTTTCAATAAACTAATAATCTATCACAACAAGAAAGACCACCACTCTTCTAGTCATAATATACTTAGCGGAATTATATAATAATTCAAGTGATTAAGCTGTATTTATAAAACCTTAAGCCTAGTGCCATTGGTAGTACAAATAACTACAGTTCAAGTATTTTCCCAATCATGGGCATTCCAGAAGACAGATTTGGGGCTTTCAGTTGGAACAGAACACTTACAACTACCATGAATTACTTTGTAAATTACCAAGTCAGTAATTTGTAAGATAATTCCAAAAACAACCTGGAGGACTTCACTGATTATACACACTTTTAAAACTCATAGCCAGGAATTTTCATATAAATAACACGTATACAGTTGTTCCCTCCACTAAAGTTCCCTACACCTACCCTTTCCTGTGGCTAATGTCAGCTCTTCCTTTTGAGCTTAGTTGAAATGTCACTTCCTTTAGGAGTTTTTTTCCAGTCCTACACAAATTAGTTGAGATTCTCTCCTTTTTGCTCCCATAGCACTGCTAGCTTGTCATAGCATTTGTGCTGTTCTTGTCTCTTGCTTACTATTTATCTTTTCCCCTAGACTTATACTGTCTAATATAGTTGCCACTAGCCACATATGTCTGTTGAGCTCTTGAAATGTGGTTGCTCTAATTTGAGAAGTGTCATATATGCAAAATACACACAAATTTTGGGGCTTAGTTTGAATGTAGAATTCAACATATCTTAAAAAATTTTATGTGCATTATATGTTGAAATGGAAACAATGAATCTCCCATACCAAAATGGTCTAACATTAATACTAAAGTACTCAGGTAAATTAGAAAATACACGTCAACCTCCCTTATAATTTTGGAATACTCAGAGAAAAAAAAAATACTCGTGCAATATTTTTACTAATTAAGAATCTTTAAAGATGAGAAATGGTACATATAAAATTACTCAAGCTCTTCAGAAAAAAGATTTATGCATTTAATTTTGACAAAATGGCCATGGCCTAGATTTTGCAGAATTAATATATATTCGATTTGTGTAGGCTTTAAAATGGTTTTGGCTCTGGATATCTCTGAATAAAAAAAAGTCTGATAATTTTCCTCAGTAAACTGCTCATATTTCATACAGAGCTATTCTTTATTGCATTTCTCTTTCAATTCTCTGGATACATCAAAGGGGGAAAAAATGACCATTTAATCTTAACTATTAAATTTAGCTTAATGTAAAGATCTTAGTTCAAGTCCTGGTTCTACAACTTGCCTTCTGTGTAAACTTGAACAGTTCTAGGCTGCATCTTTCTCATCTTGAAATGGAAGTGAATATTTATGGTGACAGTGAATATTTATGATGATCATTATCTTTATTTTTGTTTAGCAAATGTTAATCCTATTAATCATATTTTACTTAAATGAATATTGAAGTTCACTTGGAGTTTCCAAGCTCATGCAAAAATCAGAGAAATATACTGATCACTTTTCAGGTCTTTGGGACTTGAATTCAAATTCACAAAATATGTAATTAATCATTGATTATCAAACATTGACAGAAGGCTTATACTATTAATTTTTCAGTGGGAAAAGGTGGGTGGGAAGAAGCTTCTTGGATATGTCTAATCCTTGTTGATTAAAC